TGTGACATGTTCTTGGCTTGTAGGCCTGGAGAACTTGGTTTTCAAGCCACCGGAGTCATGGCAGGCGGGGTGTTTCATCCCCCGGGACCCGCTTGTTATCTGTACTTTGGAATGCCACAGAAGTGCTTCTGCTTGGTGTGATGAGCCACTTCGTTGCAGGGTTCCAGGGTGTACTTTGAATCCGGAGAAGGGGGTTAGAGGGAGCAAGTATTCACACTAGGGCTCACGGGCTCACTCAGAGCGTTCAAGAAGCAGGTCACCAGAGAAGAAGTCATCACCGTCATGCACGCGCAGCGCTGCTTCAACGAAGCTCGCCCCGAATGGAAGCACATGCTTCCAATATCTTCCAATGGAGTTTGTGGTTTGGTGCTCCCTCTCTCCGTGCATGGTACGTCCAATGGGCATCACGTTACGTGAGGAGAGCTCCATCGAGTTCCAGGAGCGCATTCTGGACAACTCTGGAACAGGCCCACCTTGCCTTTCGATTCCTGGTCCAGTTGGGTACAACTCTCCAACTCCAAACCTTTTAAACGCATGGCCGATTGAATGGGTTCGAAGAAAACGGATACGTCGCCGCTGCTGGTGCAGTATGAGCCCATCACGGTTATAGGACTTCGGAGGCAAAGAAGGGCCAATGCTTTACAGTGAGCCGCAGGGTTCGATGGGCTGAGGCAAAATGTCCCAAGGTGAGACGAGATAAGCAAGAAGAGCACTCCAATCGCCTGCGCTGCCTAGTTTCGGAGAGGTTGAGAAATTGGGATGTTCATTCTTGAACACGCCGGGAGTTCATGAACGTTCAAGTAAATCGTACTTCACAGATGCCTCACATTGCCTCACCTGCTTCTGCGGCAGGCGAGTCCACCCATTGGCCGCCAGGCGCAAGTGATAGCAGCCATGTTGGTCCCTGCAGCTTCGCTGACAGTGTGTCAGGTAGCATACGCTCCAAGGATGGCGTCACCAAGGTCGGGAGTAGAACCCGGGAATTCTGCTTGAGGTCAGTTGCGGTCCTTGCTCTGATCGGTTCATGCTTGCATGCCTGGCTTTGGATTTGAGAGGCTCTGTAGCTGGTTGCGGATGGCTTCGGGATGCTTCGGGTTGAAGGGCACGGCCGGATGAGAAGGCTTTGTGGCGGAGGATGCACAGGGTCGGCCAACGAGTTATTGCGCAATCTTCGAAGCTGACCTTGTGCTCCTCACCGGTATGCAAGCCCATTTCTATGCGCGTACTTAGATCCGGATCTCTGCAGAAGGGAGACTTTATATATCAAGGGTACGGGGGATTACTGTCGACGACTTGATTACTTTCGATTGCTTGACTTGTTGCCTGACTTGTTTGTTCTGCAAAAGCTTTTTTTGACCCCCAAGCCCAACTTACAGAGCTCCCAACCTCCTTTTCACACTAAATCGTATGTATGTCACATTCAATCCGATCTTGCTTCTGACAGCTTGCCCTTCCCGAAGCTGGCTGAGATTTGGCATCCCATTGCCATCCCGAGAACTTGGAATGTCGCATTGCTGTGCGGGTTGTGCCGTTGGACTTCAGAGCTGGCTGCTGCAGATTCAGCTCTCTTCTGCCATGAGAAGTGGGAACGAGCAGCGCCTGGCAAGAGTTTTATTACAGGCAGAGCATATCGGGATTCCCTGGCGTGAGCGCGAAGATGCACAAAGGGAACCAGACAGGCTTCGTGCTTTCAGCCAGCTCTCAGAGCATCTCCATCGGAGCATGGATGTGGATAGCATTGAAGCTGCCTGCAATCGGCTGCGGGTTGCAGGGCTTGATCACAGCCCTGGGTTCAGGGACCTTTTTCAGCAAGGACAGTCCCATGTTCAGCAGATGCTCAGGTCTGAGCTGTGTCGAGCCTTGCAAAGCCGGGATGTAGAAGCGATACTCCAAGCATGCCACCATGTTGCAAGACTTGCATGTTCGCAGGAAACAACAGCTGTTGCAGCACGATCTTGGGTGCACAATCGGTGTGCCGAACCGGCCTTGTTACACCTGTTGGAAGCAGCACGATCTTGGGTGGATAGATGGTGTGCAGAAATGGACTTGTTACACCTGCTGGAAGTGGAGGATCCAACAAAGTTGCGTGAAGCTTGCAAGGTAGCTGCAAATGCAGGCGTAGCACAAGGTATGATTGAGAACGCCCAGTTGACTGTCAGACGCTTAGAAGCGCATGCTGAACTTGTTCGTGCTGTGCAAGGTGGCAGGGTTCAGCAAATCGAGAACGCGTGCAATCAACCAAAGAGTGAGGGTGTCTCCGACTCCCTGCTTGCCTCAAGTCATGAAAAGCTTTGCCGTCTTTCAGAGGAGGCATTGCAGAAGGCAGTTGAGGATGCTGATGTATCGATGATTGGCACATGCTGCGAGCGCGCAGCTCGTGTGGGCTTGTGCGACCACAAGATTCGTCAGGGCTACCAAGAAATACGTCGCCTCCAGAAGATCCAGCATGTCAAGGCGGTGCTTAAACAAGCGGTGCAGTCTGGTGATGCATACACCATTCTAGAAGCTTGTGAGCAAGCAGCAAACATCTTGGATTCCGAATGCATCCGCGATGCTCGTTCTGTCGCATTCAGTCTTATGATAAACGACGTGTCCAAGGCAACATGCTCCGGAATCGCAGCAGACATTGAACGTGCTTGCTTAGGCGCTGCTAGATTGTGTGTCCGCTGCTCTGATGTTCAGCCGAAGGATGTGGCCTGTTGCATTCAAACTGGCTTGAAGAAGGCGTGTGAGCTTTCTGGCCTAGAGTTAGAGGCAGCCATGCATGAGGAAGATCCTACGTTCTGCCATCCGTGAGATAGAAAGATTTAAGACTGCGTGTGCCCGCGGGTTGATTGAAGAGGAGGACCTGTGGCCTCCTGAACACGCCGGCAACCTTTCGAAAGCTCACCAGGAACTGGCCCGCCTTGTGTCACACGAGCTTCGCCGTGCGACCGACGGCTTTGTTCCTGGCAGAAGCACTTGGTGTCTGCGAGGGGGACATGGAACCCGTCAAACTAGCGCTAGAAAAGCTCGATCTGGAGGAAGCTCTGAGCAATAGTGATGCTGATCGCATCTCAGAGGCTTGTTGCAATGTGTAGCACATCACAAACACCAGAGCTGACTTGCACGATTTGGTTTGGGAGGGGCGCCAGAGAGCGAGACAGTTGCGTGAAGCCAATGCGTGCTCGACATGCGGCTGCACTCGCCACTTCGACAGGTTTCAGGATCGAATCTGCTGGTGTGATACTTGCTGTCAGGAAGGTTGTCAGAATCCAGTTCGCAGACAGAAGGGGTTACCAGTGGGCAACTCCTCGTGGCAGCCGCGAACCTCACCAGACTCACAGGCATGTGAAGATTCCGACGTCACGATTGATTTTGAAGACGAAATTGACTATGAGTCGGATGGGCATGGTCGGTTGGTGGCGTATGGGACTAAAGTAGAAGTGGGCACCTCACGCCGAACTCGAAAGGAGTTGTGGCGCCGATATATTTAAATATGACAAGAGGCGAGTGTAACAAGGAGCTGCTGCAACTTGTCTCCAGAACGACTTGCAGTAGAAGCTCCTTATGATGACATTCATCTTGCCATATCCACATGTGCTTTGCTCCACATCTTCTCAGATCAGGGTTGCGGGCTTTGGTGTCGGGTCTGGGTTCAGGGCGTCGTCCCGTGCAGCGGCAGAAGGTCTCATGCGGTGAAAGCTTTTTGCATTAAGTTGAGACTCTGCGTAGGCGTAGGCCCAGCTCCCGTAAAACTAGGGAACTCATGATGCCACATCATGAACAAATTCAGATTTTTGAAGCCTTGAGTGTACTGCTAGTCCAGTGTGATACTTGTAGCAGCCGCTGCTGTGAGTGTAGCGTGCTGGACTGATGGCCAGGGCATCACAGACATGGCAGCAGCCCGCGATGAAGCGCGCATAGTGTCACCCGGCTGCGTGGGACACGCTGCACAGAATCGCGCAGGCTAAGGTCTTCCGAGCAAGTCCGCAATCCTCATCGGGCATCTTGCTGTAGGGTTAATGTGCGGTATCATCATGTTGCCCAGGATTTTTGAGCTCGTGCGGGAGCTGCTGCAGCGGACGCGGGCCTTGCTCTTACGGACTCTTACGATTGTCAGCATTCAAGACGCATGATGCTGCTCGGAAACCACTTGGCAAGATGCTACAAGGTTAAGCCGCAATACATCGATTTTTTGATCATCAACTGCTCTTTGCAGCAGGCTTAGGCTGCAGGGGTTGATGCTGGACATGTCTTCGCACCTGAGCACCTAGCACTCTTCACTGGCGCGTTCGGTGTCTGAGGTTTTGCCCAACCCCATCTCTTTGTGCGATGGTGTGCAACGAGTTTGGCCTTCGTCAGGCCAGGCGTGGCCATGGCAGGTCAAGTCGCGACAGAGCGATCACGCCAGGACATTCGGTCATACAATCTCGGTGGCATGGGCTGCTCCGCAAACGTGGCCGTCCCAGCATCTGCCGTTTCCATCTTGTTTCTGATTTCGAAGGCTCCCTGCAACCTAGAAACTTCAGCGGCTTCTAGCATACTAGCAGTTCTAGCAGCTCTTCGTATGCCTGAGAGTTCGTTGCTTGCCGAAGACCTGCCTTCACGACAGCACAGCAACTACTCTTCACAGGTCATCCTGTTTCCAGCATCCTGTGGTCTCTGATTCAGAATGCCTGAAACACTATGAATCCGCCAGTTTCCCTGGTTTGTGTCTTTCGTTTGACTCTTGCAACTGAGGTGATCTCTGTGGATCTTGCGAAGCAGCTCCTGGAAAACAGGCCTGGCTCGCTGGCGCTAGTCATCTCCACCGAGATGCTCGGAACATCTTGGGAACAAATCCCGCAGTGTAGGGCCTGACGTGGCCTTTCTCACAATCCCAAGGTCGAAGCCCTTGTCTGTCAGAGTTACTGAGCCAGCCCCAAACATGTGGGAGCAGTGAGGAGCAGTGCAGGACGACGAACCATTGCAGTGATGACTGCACGTGTGCGAACCCCTCCCATGCCAGGAAGCCCTAAGCGCAAGGGTGCTGGGGAGTGAAGAAGATTGTAGACTACAGGATTTTGCGAATCGGCGCCTATTTAGTTACGACATAGTTATTACTATGGAGTGTAGGGAAGCAAAACTTCGCCGCAGCCAAATCTGCGCCGACGAATGCGAGTCTGGAGCTAAGGAACATCACGCAGAATCTCTATCGAGGCAATCAAAAGTCGATGCTTCTGCAGAGCCTCGGCCCTTTGGAATCAGAGGGGCACCCCGCATGCCCGCACCACCTTTGAGATGTTCCATTTGAGGAATACTCTTTTCCGGTGCGGTGGATGCGCCTTGATGCTGTCAAGCCGTATCTCTGACTCAATGCGAGCCAAGTGCCACGGAAGCAAAAGCTCCAAAAAGCTCCAAACATCCTGAGATGTTTGCAACTTGGACTTGCGGCTTGATCGGATCGATGGGCTCAGGTACAAGCTACTGTATACCTTCCGCGCGCAGCTTTCGGATGACAACTCCTACAACTGCGTCTTTCAGAAGGAAGATGAAGAAGGAAACAGTCTCTGGCTTACCTGCTGAGGTGGGCAACTGTGATGCTCCATTAGGGGTAGCTTCCGAGGTGGCGTGGCGCTGTCCAAGGCGCTCGCATTGCTTTCTTCATCTTTCTTCCCAGAGTTGATGTATGCCTCGTGTGTGAGCTACAAGTGAGATCACGTGGCCATGTGTGGCCCCAATGGCTGTGAAAAGCACGCCTGCTTTCTGAAGTTCTTCCAGCAGGTCATAAACGTCACAGTCTGATTTCTCGATGGGGTGATGCTCGTACCATGTCGGCGCACACCTGTTCATCGTTACCATAGTAAGTAGAAGCACGTGCCAGAGCTGCGCTGCGCAGCCATGTCGGATGTCTTGCTGGCGAAGAAGTGGGAAAATGAGGACCCTACCGGGTGGTGGATGTCGGAGAAGCTGGATGGCGTCCGGGCAGTTTGGCGGAATGGGCAGTTCAGCTCACGAGGTGACAACTCATTCGCTTGCCCGGATTGGTTCAAGAAGAAGATGCCCGCGGGCTGCGTGCTTGATGGGGAGATCTGGGGAGGTCGTGGGCAGTTCCAGAAGACCTCTGGGATTGTTCGGAGCTCTACGCGTGGCAGCGAGTGGGAATTCCTGACGTACATGGTCTTTGACTGCCTGCAGGAAGGGGGAGCCAGCATCGAGCACAACCCGTTCGAGGCTCGCATGGACGCCGTGCGCCGGATCTGTGCATCTGCGCATGGAAAGGACCCCGGAAAGGACCCCGTGCTGAAGGCTGTGCCAATGGAGAAGTGTGCGGGCCGAGCTCAGTTGGACTCTGCTCTAGCAGAGGTTGAAAAGCGAGGCGGCGAAGGTCTCATGCTACGCTGCCCTGGATCCAAGTACGAACACCGCAGGTCGAAGTCCTTGCTGAAGGTGAAGACCTTCTACGATGAGGAAGCGATCGTGGTGGGACATGCCGGTGGGAGCGGCAGGGTGGCGGGAATGTGCGGCGCCTTGCTATGTGAGACGCCTGACAAGCGGCGTTTCAAGGTGGGCTCGGGCCTGAGCGATGCTCAGAGGCAGGACCCTCCGCAGTTAAACGCTGTTATCACCTACCGTTACCAAGAGCTCACGCAAGACAACATCCCCAGATTTCCCACTCTGGTGGGTGAGCGGAACGACATGACCTGGGCACAAATCTGCTCCAATTATGTACCACCCGGGCCTCGAAAGGCTGGAGCGATGAAAAGGACACACACCATCCTCTGGGACGACGTCGGCCAAGTTCCTGAAGCTTCGGCTTCGGCAGCTTCGGCAGCGGCGGCTCCGGCGGCTTCGGCGGCTCCGGCGGCTTCGGCGGCTTCGGGCTCTTCACACGCTCGTCCCCCTCTGAAACGTGGGCTCACAGCAATGGATGCAATGCAGCGGGGCACAGCCGAGGAGGACTTGGATGACTTCGGCTTTGACGACATGCTCCCACCCGTGCCACCAGAGAAGAAGGCCCGTCTTGCTGCACCCGCAGAGGTTCCAGGTCTCGGCATGCGGCCGGTGTGCCAGTATGGCCGCCGCTGCTACCGCAAAAACCCTGCGCATTTCCTGGAGTTTGAGCACCCCTGGTTGGATGCAGAGAACGAAACAAAAGACATTGGAAACTCTGCTGCAGTGCCGAGCTTCATGCAAGACCGCCAGGAAACGGTCACGGCAGACACCAAGGAAGTCGCTGCAATGCCAGCACCGGCCGCGTCCAGGACGGAGCTGTCAGAGTTGCCACAGCTGTTGAGATCTGACACGCCGGCTGAGCCCAGTGGGCATGCTGCGGCGGCCACGCAGCGGGAAGGTTCCGCCGGAGAGCCGGATGTGCGCATGGTTGCAGTTCGGAATCTGCTTTCCAGCATGCTGGAGGATGCTCAGATGCCCGAGGCCCGCAGCCACCTGCAGCAGATGTTGGATTTTGCAGATTCCGTGCCACTGACACCGGCTGCACCGACGCCGGAAGCACCAGCTGCAGCGATGCCTGCCGCAGCGACGCCTGCCGCAGCGATGCCGCCACCCGTGCAGACGGAAAGCAGGGGAAACGGAGCCAGGGATCGGCCGCGGAGCCTGGCCTCGGCCCTGCTTTCCACCACATCTGAGGTGCTGCTTGCGGATCCCCGGGCCGTGGAGGGTGCCCGCGGTGCTTCCAGGGCTCCGGAGGCTCCCGAGGCTCCCGAGGATCCGAAGTCCAAGCTTGCGCAGGAGCTTGGCACGATGGGATTCCCGGAAGAGGGAATCCATGAGGCCCTGCTGCACTGCAGCACCGCGGACGATGCCGTGGACTGGCTCCTGGCTCGATCAGCTTGAAAGAAGCTGCTCCGCCTCCCGATATCTCCCGATGCCATCCGGCTTCGAAGCTTAAAAAAGGCAGTAGTTGGCAAGATTGTACAGCGCTTGGCCTTTGGGCATGGCACCAGCTGCTGCTTAACCCCGTGGAAGAAACAACCAGATTCTGCACCAAACAGCATTTACTCCTAGCTTCGCAGGTGTAGGGGCAAGAGACCAGTAAGTGGCCAATCGCTTGTGGAGCCCGCACGAGCTGCCTCGTGGCAAGGACATCGTGAAAGTCGCTGGCCGAGCAATGCGACAGAACTTTGTGGCTTGGAAATAGCTGAGCCATGGGTTGCGACATGATGTTGAGATCGTTTCAGAGGTGCGGTACCTGTCTGCCACATTCCCAAGCCTTTTCTTCCAGGACCCAAAGCTTACACCCCACTCAACCCGCATGCCAGACCGCACCTCCAGGTACTAAATGCCTGGCCTCCACACGGCTGCCCTACTTCTTCTATCTTCCTCTGGCACGGGAAAGCTGTATGGCACTCTTCTGCTTGAGTGACTAAAGGTGCAACTCGGCCCCCATGTCCTGCCGCTGCGAGAGCAGGCAAAGGTGCTGTGCCGTCCATCTGAATCCTGGTGCCTGCAGTGTTGTTAGGTTGTGGCTGTTTCCTGTTGTTCTGAATCAACCTCACTTCTGCGGTTTCGGGAAGCAAGTAGCAGGTCCCCGTGGAAGTGTGCAGAATAAGAACAGTTGCCTCGTCAATTTTGGGCGACGACAGCTTAGGCAACCAGTTCGTCATGAGGCTCGTCTCGCAGGCGAAGAAGAGGCACAGTGAAGCAGTGAGTGTGGTGCCGACATGTACAGACGCAGCGCGTGCGTTAGATCCTGAGATTCAGACGGTGCCGCTTGTCGTTCAGGCACTGGCCGTTTGCGGACCGGCTAAGTGTGCCGCAAGGCTACACGCCAAACTTCAGCAAAGGCATCTTGCCAGATTGATTCAAGAGGCAAGGGCGCTCACAGCCTGATGGTGGATGGCTTCAGCACAATGGCACTGCCTTGATACACCCAGCTGGTGCAGGTCCAACATAACGCATAACATCTACCCGAATCCCCCCCCCCCCCCCCCCCTGCAATGTGCTTGTCATCATCTAGGCCGCGAGGTGCGGGAAGGTAACATGCATTGCATTTGGTCGCGACGATCGTGCTGTTCCAACGCTTCCAGCTAGTTAGCCGGGCTTAGCAAATGGGTTCGGCGCAAGGCGCGAGAGCATCCATTGCATCACGCCCGTGGTTCTGATTCGTTATGTCATGTTGTGTCGTGGCTACTGGCTCAAATTAGACTGGGGAGCTGGTTTCCGCAGCTGCAATCAGTTCAGCGGGCAGCTTGCTCCGGACAGTTGTCTGCAGAGAGCTGTGATTTGTGTTTTCCGTGATCGGCCCAGATTGAACACCGCAACTGAGAATGAGGACGTTCCATACTCGCCGCTGTGGCGATGTTTTCTGCCACTTGGAACTTTGCTGAGGGTCTGTGTCGGTACACACCATGGCCGCGCTGAGACGTCAGACGGTGTGCGGAAGTGACCCACCGCTGGGCCTCAGTTTCATGTCTACGGGCACACGACTGACGACGACTGAGGTCAGATTCTTCTTTGTCTTGTCGATGCACGTGGGTGTTGAAGCCATTAACACTTCCCAGCCGGATCATTCCCATGGCCACATGGAAGCGACCATCTTGGCAGATGCCCGGCTTGATTGGCAGTGGAGAGCAGGATCTGAAGGTGACTCGCGGCGAACTTGGTTTGCGCGGCTGAAAGCAATGAGCATTGCGCAACTGCAGGAAGGGGAAGCACACGTTCGAAGCATGGTGCGAAAGGACACGGGTAAACGACTTGCTTTGCAAAGGTCACATCCGTGCTACGGAGCCTCTCATGCCCTTGGCCATGTGAACTCACACTCCTCCTTACCTACAGGGTGTCTGGCTTCTTCTATCTCAAGCTTAATTAGGAAGGATAGGAAGGCAACCTTTGAACGATGCAAATGAAATACGAGGAACAAAGTGACTGCACGAGTTTCATATTCTTACTGGGGTCTTTTGCCAAGAGTCCGTCGATGAAGAGCACCCATGAAAGGTTCTCGCACCAGAGTGTGTTCATGCTTTTGGTGCGTTTTCTAGTTCTTGAGACTTCTTCTAAAGGTACGTAAGACCACAAGCTTGAAAATCCTCGCTTGTAGGTCGTGTCAAGGGTAAGAATACTATATACGTAACCTTATAACTTATAACCAACCCACCCTCTTTGCCCCACAGAGTCACCTCTTGTGGAGGAGAATGTCTCCACCGAATACGACACGCTCGAGGATGAAGCCAAAGGTTGCACATGCTCCTATGACCGAACGGACCGAACGGACCGAACTTCACAAGTGGCAAGTAGTGAAGTAGTGTTGAGCCATGTTGAGCCCCAGTTTCTCTCGAGGGCCCCTGATTCCGAGGCACAGAGGTCGACCTCAAGGGCAAGAAATGGTCACCGGGGGGGCTGCAGCAGCCATTCTGCAATAGTCCGACTCGGTTTACATTTTGGGATGAAAGGTTATAACTTTGGGCTGTCAGAGGCGGCCAGACCCGACCATGCTTGTTGCGATAAGGGAGTCCTGTTCAGCCTGCATTGTAATCTGCTTTACGTGGATCGCTCGTTTCTACGTGCTTTGTTGGTCCCACACGAAGTATCATGCAGGCCCGTGTGGGCTTGCGCGCCCGGTACGGACCTTTTCAATGCATGATCACGGCGGGAGGGCCATGGCACATCATGGTACCCAAGGCCCTCTCTAGCAAACGAGGGAGCATGGTCGATGATGCTCACTCGGTTCTAAAGCCCCTGGAGCCAAAGCTTTTCCAAGAGCGCACGTGCCAGCGGTGCTAGTGAGCTACCCTGCCAGTTCTCAGGTGCTTTTAGTGTTCTTGCTTCCCTCGTGCTGCTGCTGCTGCTGCTGCTGCTGCTGCTGCTGCTGCTGCTGCTGCTGCTGCTGCTGCTGGTGCTGCTGCTGCTGCTGCCGCTGCTGCTGCATCTGCTGCTGCTGCTGCTGCTGCTGCTGCTGCTGCTGCTGCTGCTTGTGTGGATGCGTGGGGCTAGGGTCGTGCCGTCGTGCGGAAATGCGTGCAGAGCGTCAATGCAGTCAATGGGTCCTTGTCATCCAGACGACCTCAGACGTGTCAGCATCTGCTGCTTCTGTCGAAATTCGGACTGCCTCGATTCCTCAGGAAGTGTGTGGGAAGCTGCGCGGATGTGAGGAAGAGCGACTCCAAGAATGATTGCCCAAAAGATTGGAAGATCATCTCGCCGCGAAGCAAGGACTGCCGCCAGCTTGGTATAGGATTCCATAGGATTCCGAGGTTGCGAGGTGGAGAACATTCCGCCCCCGATGTCAGGAAGATTGGCAAACACTGATCGATCTGAAGGTGCTGGACGAGGTCCGGGCTCCACACTTGTGCCTCGCCTGTAGATGCTTGAGCGCCAGATGTCCGGAACTGCCAGGGTGAGGGGGCGAGGGGTTACTTGCCGAGGATTGTTGATGTCACCCAGCCCAAGAATGGCTGTGGCGGGTGCACCAATCACCCGATGAACTCCGAATCAAAAGGTGGCTTCACAGCAGAACGGGCTCACCTGGTTTGGTTTAAACCCTTATTTACCAGTGTTAAACTGTGTTGAACACATGGCCGGCATGGTCCTGCACCAAGGTCAGTCGATGTGGGTGACGATCGATGGGAGTGAGTCATTTGGTGCAGATAGACACAGTGTAGGTTGGTTCCCGATGTGTTTCAGTGTGGCTGAAGTCGGTGATGTCGAGGTGGTGGCTCAAAGGGGTGAAGTTCGGTGAGCCCAATGGACGTCTGGCAGCATCACGCAGCATCGTTTGGTGCAGCTGCAGTCAACATTCGCTCGTGCAAACACAAGGTGACTATCATGCCAACTGCTTCTTGGGTATTGGTGCTCCAATAACCAATCCTGACGCCATACATTTCAATGATGCCTGGCTAACGCTGGCTGGGTTCGTTGACGGAGCTAGCGACTGGATGTCTGCACAGAAGCACCTGCTCCGATAATGGGCCGATTCACACACAGGGCGCCAACTTGGCATGCATGATGTGATGCACAGAGCAAGAGTGGATGCTGGCCATTCAAGGACCTGAACTGCGCATACCACAGCAAAAAGTATCTTTGCCAGCCTGATATACGGTGCCTCACCTTAATGTCTGTGCCGGAAATTGATAGGCCACAGCCGCCCGCTCATGCTCCAACACCCCATCGCTTGAAGCTGCGATGGGATTCCACCGTAACATGCTGGCGGGGATGCTGATGAATATGCTTCAGGTATACCACCACCACGACTACTACGAAGCCGGAGGAGAAGTCTTTTGCGAAAATGCCAGTGACAAACAGCATCTGCGCACCCAACGTTCAGCAAGATCAAGTTTTCACTTCGTCATTCAAATCTGCCTCGTGCGCAGTCGAAGATTAGCTCAATCGTAGTCATGGTTGCTGCATAGTCTCCTGCACCGGGTTGTGCCACGCTGAGGCATGGCCTGGGCACTGGGTGCCATATGGATGTGTCGCTTTCCTGAGCTTGCGGTTAGCTCTTAGCCCCAGTGAGCCACTTGTGATGCTCCTTTTCGCTCATCGCATCTGCATGTGCCACCATCTCAGGTTTGCTAGCATAGTGCAGGCGCTGGAGCTATCAGGTTGGCAAGGCGTACCTGGCCAACTGCCCCCACAGAGCTTGCAGACCTTCGCAGACTACACAAAAAGCGCCCTCTGAGGGAGGTATTTGCGTATCACCAAGTTGGCAAAGCTAAGCGGAGCACACCACAGCACCCCAGCATTCGCTTAGCTTGGGGTCACCTCCGCCCAGCTGTCAGCCACACTCGAAGCCGAACATCGGCCCACCAGAGACCCATGCGGGCCAAAAAAGAACGGGCCAATCAGAGGTTTCGAGCCGATCGTATGATGAAGCCAAGTGATGCCGACCTGTCGACTGTACTCTTGGTATGTCTGGAGAGGGAAGGTGAAGTGATGTGAAGTGCATGCCCAGTGAAACGCAGCCATGTGTCATAAGGCATCGACCACTTCTGCATACATGCAGGCCAGTCTTTGAAGACAAAATGCTTCATATCCCCACGCCAGACCACTCCGAAACCTTAATCCTGCGCCCAAGTTCCCTGGAAGGTGGACGTGCCGTCATTGAGGGCGTGCAGCAGAATCTCAATCTCTCTGATCGCCAAATCAGACCGCGCCTCGCACGCAGTAGCAGCACGCGAAAGTTCCCAAGGAGTTCTGTCAAAATACTGGGACGCTCAGAAAGGGCGGAAGCTACTTGCGGAAGCGGCGTATTCAATACTATGGCAGATCAACTCTAGTAATGTCGAGGTACAGAACCCGAAGTCCCGAAGGCCGGCCCCGGGATCTGCCAAAACCCCAACACAGAAAGAAACAAAAAGATGTTGGCGACTCGTGCCTCTATACATTTATATGTGTTTTTCATTAATTAAATATACATACCTTAAGTCATATCTACATATGTGGCATGGACCTTTACGTATTATTTGGCGATCCCTTTCGTTTCTTATTTAAACAATGACTTTGCAAGTATCAGATATAGAGTATGATTTAATGTTTGTTGTTCCAAGTTTCAAGTTTCAAGCAACTCTTTGCAAAAGGGCTTGGGGTTTGGGATTTACGGTAGCCCACGTACCATATGATAAACATCTCGGCGCCCAGACCGGAACCATCAAGAATAGGTCAGTCATTTCTCTTTCGTCCTTGAATCTCTAGCATGTTCCGTGAAGACACAAAGAAAGGAAGTGATGACAAAGGAATATACGTGGAGATGGACATGTCGAATTCTTCATAGTCGTGGCTTTCCCTCTCTGCCTTCCTTTGTTTGACCCTTCTTCTCTATTCTTTTTGCCTTCATCTTTGACCAGCACGATCGAAAGGGAAAGGGAACATGCCACATCCTCTCGATGTGGTTCTCTCTCTCCTTTCCTTCCCTCTTGCGATGTATCTCTTGTCCTCCCTCTCTCTCTCTCTCTCTCTCTCTCTCTCTCTCTCTCTCTCTCTCTCTCTCTCTCTCTGCTCTCTCTGCCATCTCTTGCTCTCTCATCCCTCCCCTCTCCTATATTGTTTCCTCCCCTCTTTTCCATTTCTGCAAAGAGTAAGGAACAGCATAGAACAGAAAGGAAGAGATAAGATGGAGGAAGATGGTGTGGTGAACTCCTCCTGCGCTCGGCTCCCTCGCTTTCTCTTCCTTTGCCGTTCTTCCTCTTCTCTTCTCCCTGTTCTCTTCATGAGAAAGGAATGAAGCGAACGGAGATCTCAGAGAAAGCAAGAGGCCCTCGCTCTCATCATCTTTGCTTCCTCGTCTTCATTGCTCGCTTCATCTCTCTCTCTCTCTCTCTCTCCTCTCTGTCACTCTCTCTCTCTCTATCTCTCTTCCTCCCTCTCTACTTCTGCAACATCCCTTTTCCGCTTCTCTTTCCCGCTTCTTACCTTTGACTTGACGTTTATCTTTCTCCCACTCTTCCTCTCCCTTCTCTTCCCCTCCCTTTTCTCCCTCTTCCCTTTCTCAGTCAGAAGGACGATGCACAAGGAAGAAGGGAATAAGGGAAAAGACAAGAGAAAAAGAGAGCGAATCCGATAATGGCAGAAGGAGAACAAGGGCAAGAAAGAAAGACCGAAAGAAAGAGAGAAAGAAAGAGAGAAAGTTAGAGAAAGTAAGAGAGAGAGAGAGAGAGAGAGAGAGAGAGAGAGAGAGAGAGAGAGAGAGAGAAAAAAACACACAAAAAGAGAGAGAGGGGAGGGTGGGATGAAAAGAGGAGGAGATGAAGATTGCAGCAGGGCCTTGTCCTCCGCCTCTGTTCATCCTTGTTCTTCCCTCCTGTCTCATTGGTGAAAACCCAAAACGAGCTTGCGTGGGAAGACAAAGGAGAAGAGGATTGGTAGCCGCGAGATTCGGAGGAGGAGTTCTCCTCTTCAATCACCCTCTGTCCTTCCTTTCAGCTCTCATTCATCCTCCTTGCTTTGCCATCTCTTGCGCTATCATCCCTCCCCTCTCCTCTTTCCTTCCTCACCTCCTTTCCATTTCTGCAAAGAGTGAGGAATAACAGAGAACAGAAAGGAAGAGACAAGACGGAGGAAGACGGTGGGGAGAGGAAGGGTGAACTCCTCCTTCGCCCGGCTCTCTCGCCTTTTCTTCCGTTGCCTTCTTCATCTTCTTTTCTCCCTGTTCTCTGCGTAAGAAAGGAATGAAAGGAGCGGAGAGCTCAGGGCAAGCAAGAGGCCTCGCTCTCATCATCTTTTCTTTTCTTGTCTTCGTTGCTCTCTTCATCCCTCTCTCTCTCTCTCCCTATCTCCCTCCCTCCCTCCCTCTCTACTGCTGGAAGCAGACAAGGGAGTAAGGGAAAAGACAAGAGAAAAAGAAGCGAATCCGAGAACGGTAGAAGGAGAACAAGAGCCAGGGAAAGAAAGACAGAAAGAAAGGGAGCAAGTAAAAGAGAAAGAGAAAAGGGAAAAGAGAATAGGGAGAGAGAGAGAGAGAGAGAGAGAGAGAGAGAGAGAGAGAGAGAGAGAGAGGGAGGGGGGAGGGGATGAAAAAGCAGCAGGGCCTTGTCCTCCGCCTCTGTTCATTCCTTGTTCTTCTCTCACGTTTCATAAGTGATAAACCAAGACGAGCTGCGTTGGAAGAAAAAGGAGAAGAGGACTGGTAGCCGCGAGATTCGGAGGAAGAGTTCTCCTATTCACTCGCCTTCTGTCCTTCCTCTCACCTCTCTGCCACTCTCCTTCTTTCATATTCTTTCCTTTCTGGTGAAGAGCTAAGGCGAAGAAGGTACGCAGAAAAATAGAAACAGATCCCGGAAAGGTGAGAACAATACAAAGAACTGATAGAAAGAAGAGAGAGAGGGAAAGTTTCAAGCCCAGCGGAAGAAGAAGAGAAAGAGAGACAGACAGAGAGAGAGAGAGAGAGAGAGAGAGACCCTCCCTCCCAGCTCGCCATGAGACATTGCCTCTCCTCCCCTCCCCTCGCCTCTTCCTTTCCTCACAAAGAGGGACAGATCTTGGTCCTCCGGACCCGTTGAGCGCTTCCGGGTGAGTTGAGGCGACGGGCAAACTCCTCCTCACTCTGCCCCTCCTTTGTTTGTCACCCCCGCTCTCCTCTTCCCTTCCTCCCCTCCTCTCAACAACATTCTTCGAAGAATAAGGAAAGAACAGAACGAGAGGGACAAGAGAAGATGGAGGAAGACGGCGGGCAGAAGAAAGTTTGTTTTGCTCCTTCGCTCGGCTCTCTCTTGCTTTCCCTTCTCTTGCCATATTCTTCTCTTCTTCTTTTTGCATAAGAAAGGAGAACTGCAAGGAACAGAGAGCTCAGGGCAAGCAAGAGGCCCGCTCTCTCATCATCTCCTCCTTTCTCGTTGTTGTTGTTTCTCTCCATCTCTTCTTCTTCCGAGCATATGATCCCCGAAGGGACCGCCCCTGAGGGGCATGCGTTTAGAACTTTCCCCCACCCCTGGTATGTTGCGGGGGTGACGCTGCAAACGGAAAAGCCAACATTGGGCTGCGGGTGTGTGCAGAACCACGAGCGAGGCTTTTTCTCATCCCGTTTTGTGTCTCAGCCTCCAGGCCTCCCGGGAGCCTCCCGAATGTCGGTGCCTTCAAGGCTTGCAGAATGTCCTGCAACAAGAGCTTCCAGCAGCACCCATTGCCTCTCCTCTCCTCCCCTCCCCTCCTCCTCCTCGCCTCTTCCTTTCCTTACAGTGAGAGACAGCAAGACATTGAGAAAAGAGATGGCAGAAGAGGGCAAAAACGAAATGTAAGACAAAGCCAAATGAAAGGGAGGAAGTCCTTCTTCCTCTGCCTACCTTCCTCCTCTTCTCACTTTTTTCTCTTGTTCTTCTCTTTCTTATTCTTAAAAGGGTATCGAAAAAGGGAAGGGTAGGGGACGGGTCTCCCTCTCCTCTCTTACTCTCTTCTTGCCTATTCATTTGAAAGGAGGCAAGGGTAGGGCATGGAACCATGAGCGGGAAGGGGCGAGAGCTGTTGAGAGAAAGTGACAGAGAATGGGCGAAATCGAGGTAAGAAAGGAAGAAAGAAGGAAAAGAAAAACACGCAAAGAAGACGAATGATTTACTGTAAGTCCCGGGGACACGAGAATACTTGGAGCATATATCCTTTCACTACTTCCTGGGACCTTCCAACAGGCTGCTAGGAATTGATCGCAAGCATCTTGCTTTTCACTCTCAATGTTTCCCACAAATCTCCCAACAAGGTTACCGGATATTGCTCGCTTTCCAATTAAGCACATAAGGTCTTATATGATACTTGTCAAAGCAATTGGGCATCACATCCTTACTGCAGAAAGTATACGAAACCTAGGGGAAAGGGGGTGGGGGGTGGTTGAGACAGGGTTTATTTGGAAGCTGATGCTCGGGCTTTTTCTTGTGAGGGGCAGGTCCCTCCAGGGGACGCTGCCTTCATCTCATTCCACATTCCCGTGCAGAGAGACAGGGTGAGGGGGGAGAGAAGAGGGAGGGACAAGAACAAGTTAGGAAGAACATGTAAATTCCTGTTCTCTCTTCTTTGTTTCTCTTTCTCTTCAACAAAAAAGCAAACTGATACGGACTTCAGAAGGGGAAAGCCAAGAGCTTCCACGGTCTATGCTTCTCTC